ATTTTAGAATAAAATGAACTCTCCATTAGGCATAAATTTTAAAACCTACCAGTGCGGTGTCAAATATGGAGATTTTAGGCCACTTTTAATTTCCTTGTGAATAGTTTCTTGTCTTTTGATTTCTGTGACATTAAAAGTCTCTTTCTTTTTTAATACAGCTTTTACGATTTATTTTTATTATTTTAAGTAGTGTGTGTGTGTGTGTGTGTGTGTGTGTGTGTGTAGGTGCGTGTGAGTGTAGGTTCCCATGGGGGCTGGGGATGCTGGGAACCCCATTCAGGTCCTTTGTAAGAACAGTATGTGTTCTTTTTAAAAGTATTGTATTATTATTTTTGTCTTATGTTTATGACTATATTGCCTATATGTATATAAGTGCACCCATGTTCTGCAATGCCCACAGAAGTTAGAAGACAGTGTCAAGTGCCCTGGAACTGAGTTATGGACAGATGTTAGCTGCCGTGTTGGTGCTGGGAATCAAACCTGGGTCCTCTGCAAGAGCAGCCAGTGCTCTTAACTGCTGAGCCATCTCTCCAGCCACAGGCAGCATGTACCCTTAACTGCAGAGCCATGTCTCTATTCCGTACAAATCACATTTTATGATTCACATACGTGTGATAATCCTGAACTGTCTAGAAGTCATTCTATAACTTTTTAGGGCAAACTGGAAAAAACTGTTTAATTCATTTAAAGTTACAATTGGTATTTGAGACATTAACAACTATAGCAAAGGAATCCTGGAAGGGAGCCTTTACCCATGGAAAATATTTTAAGCTTTCCAAGGAAAGTGTTTAAGAATATGTCATTTGAAATGTGCTATATTTTGGTACTTATTCTTCATCATGACTATAGGTATACATATTATAAATAATAAAATTTCAAGAAATAATTGTATTTGCTATAGTATGCCTTTGACCATACTATATAAAACAGCAGACAGTCAATAATGACATCATTTGGGGCAGCGAAAACACTTTAGTTCAGTAAGAAATCATAGATAATAATACATAATAAAGCAATCGATATTGTCGGTTAGCTTTTTATTTTTTATTTTTATTTATTATTTATTATTTTTATTTTATGTGTTATGCTTGCATATAGGTAAGTGCACCCATGTCGTGCAATGCCCATGGAGGACAGAAGAGCCTTATGGATCCCCTGCAACTGGAGTTACGGACAGTTGTTAGCTGTCATGTGGGTGCTGGGATTTGAACCTGGGTTTTCTGCAAGAACAGCCAGTGTTCTTAACCACTGAGCCATCTCTCCAGCTCCTGTTGGTTAGTTTTTAAGTAAAATATTTCTTAAGTATTCATATGCATTGCCTACAAGATATTTGACTTCTTTTACCTATTAGTAGCTTCCAATCTAGGGGGAAATAGATGAGTTACTGGTTCATTTCTAGGGGTAAACTGTTACTAAGAGCAGTGCATGAATCATAAATGAGAAAGAATACTCTTTAAGCCACACTGGATTGTAGCAAAAATATCTGTTTCTTTTGCTGGGAATTGTTCTCTTCCAGGTTTCCCTGAAGTGTTACAAAGTGTTCAAAACCCCCTTAAGGGGGTTACATGGTTGTGTAATACCTAGATACTCATTCTTTGATCTTTCTCTTCTCTTAGTTTTCATTCAAGTATTTAAAAATCAGATCAACATGAGCACCAGGAAGTGAGAGAATGCTCAGGAATCAGAAGCGATGTAAATAACCAGTCCATCCATATTGACAGCTGTAAAATGGATATCATCTTCATTTACATGAAATTGTCTACTTCCAATTTCCCTGTACTTTCCATGTTTACTTCTCCAATCTATAAACGATGTCCTTCTGTAAGATGTTATCTGTGACCTGTCCATTTTTTTTTCTAACCCACTTTCCATCTAAATTTGCCTTTTCCTCCACTACATTAGCAATCACATCTGGATAGATGTTCTCCTCTCTCTCTCTCTCTCTCTCACTCTCTCTCTCTCTCAATCTAATCTATCAATCATCTATGTATTATCTATCTATCTATCTATCTATCTATCTATCTATCTATCTATCATCTATCTATCTGTCTGTCTGTCTGTCTGTCTGTCTATCTATCTATCACCATCATCTATCTATCTCTCACTATGTAGCCCATGCTGACCTAAAATACTCTTAAATGTCTCTAACACTTGTGAGCGCCCCATTCAGTAGGACTGGAATAGATTCTGAGATTTGCTATTTAAAGCAAACTTTAAGGAGCTGTTCCTGCTGCTTTGAAAAACTATTTTCTAGAACAGAGAATACAGACATTTAACAGCTTTAACGACATTTAAAAACTGTCAGATCCTTGATAGGAATACCATAAAAACTGATGTTGTCTCCTGAGTGCCATAATCAGTGGTCCTAGTAGTAAAATGATATACACTCCAAATAAGAGCTGAAAATTCCTATTTTCTTTCTAGAAACTTTTAATAATGAATTAAAAATTATGTCCAATAACTTAGCATCTAATACCTTTACAATAGTGAAAAAATCTACGCTTTTTTTGACAAAGATGGTGGAGCTGGATATGACGACAGACACCAGTAGTTCCAGCTATTTGGAAGGCTAAAGCAAGATTATCACTTTAGCCCAGGAGTTAACAGACAGCCAGGGCAATCTAATGAGACCCTGTTTCAAAATGTGATGGGGGGCAGATTGCTTTCTAAATTAAGATAAAAAGAAAAAAATATTAAGCTTAATGGTCTTCAGAAATTGGTGCTATAGCCTCAATCTGTTTTCTATCATGTTAGCATCAGAATGTATTTGCAATTTTAAGCTTAAGACTGCCAGAGAAAGGAATTTGTTTGTGAGATCACACAGGAAGGCACAGACATATATGGTAGTATACTAACATAACTGGGATACTTGAAATCTACTGACCTCCAAATCTATCATTATTGCTATTGGTTGCGAATTTATTTACTGTAGGAAACAAACATTTGATACGAATATTGCCAGGCTGAAAAATACAATAATACTGAAAAGTACTATAGTAAATATAGCAGCATTTTCTGTTTTAAGATCATACGACTTCTCTCCGTCCACTTTTATGTGTGATCTAGAGTTTCAGTTCGGGTCATTAGGCTTGTGAGGCAAACACTTTTATGCACTGAGCCATCTTGTCCCATCTTTTTCATTTTTCATCACTTTAAGAACAAATATTGGGACATTCTAATGTGTATGAGCTTCAAGTAGCTAGAGAGAGTGAGAAAGTTGACTTATTTTTTATAACTATAACACCCAAAACTAACTCAATCTAAAAGAACAGGCCTGTGATCATTTAATTTCAACTTGGACTCATAAAAAATTAATTAAAAGCAGAGATAGAGTGGCATGAGAGTGTATTTCTTATTTTGCAATTTCAGTCATCAGTTGTAATTCTTCTCACTGTATAGATGGAAGTCAGCTGGTAGGAACTCTAATATTTTTTTTCATAATCTCAAGTATAGTCATTTTCTGTGAGATCCTGACTGAGATGCATCACCAGTAAAATGGAAAGGAAGCAAGAAACCCAAGATCTAATCAATCAACTAATTTTGTTATTTGAAGTGGAAAAAAAAAACATC